TTAGGTTAATTATTAAACATTTTATTTTAGATTTATAAGAGTTCTTTCCATTATTCTTCATATCAAACTAACCAGATATTTGATTTTCAAACTTTTCTCCCACTTTGTGGGTTGTCTTTTCACTTCCTGATAGTGTCCTTTGAGGTTCAATTAAAAAATAATATTGACAATATACAGGTAATCATTTTATGTTTTTGTTGCCTATACTTTTGTTGTGATATAAAGAAACTATTGCCTAAATCAGGGCTGTAAATATTTATAGTTATACTTTCTTCTAAGAGTTTTGTGATTTTAACTCTTTTAAAATTTTTTTTTTGAGAGCGATTTTTTGCTATAGGGCATGTGTGCTTGCTAGAGAGACAGAGAGAGACAAAGAGAAAGAAAATGAGAAATCATACACACACACACACACACACACACCCCAGAGGGGATGGCCATGCTGCAATCCCTTCTCTTCCAGTCTCTCAGGATCTTGGGCATGCATGCATACGTACCAACTGTGGTCGACTACGTAGGAGTCCAGCAACGTAATCATTATGCCATCTGCTGGTCCCTACTCTTGCTGCTGGTCCCTACTCTATTGCCAGAGGATGTGTGTATCACCACTCAGACTGAGGAAGACAGAAGAGAAAGAAAGCACCTTCCAATGGGGTATGGTGACCATACCCCATCCTTCTCCTCCATTTCTCTATTCTATTGGGGTTTTGGGCATGCATACACACATGCCTGGTGTGTTTTTTAAGCCACTGAGGGTGAGATATGAATCATAGTCAGATCTATGGGTTACCTTAACCACTAGGTCACAGGGATGGTCCTGTAATTTTACCAGTCATTGATCCACTTTGAGTTAAATTTGGTATATTATGTGAGATATGAATTCAACTTCATTTTTCTGTGTGTGAATATCCGGTTTTCCCAGAACCATGTTGAAAAGATCATTCTTGGAACCAGCAGTTGGCGTAAGGGCTATGTCGCTGGACTCCCACGTAGTCGACCGCGGTTCAAGTCTCAGACTTGGTGACTTAAACTCACGCCAGGCACGTGCGCATGTGTACCCAAGATCCTGAGAGAAGAATGGAGGAGAAGGGATTGTGGTGTGGCCATCTCCCCTGGGGGGTGACTTCTCGCTTTCTGTCTCTCTCTGTCTTTCTGGTGGGTGTACTTACCCTATACCAAAAACCTCTCACTCAAAAAAAAAAAAAAGATAATGCTTTCTCTGTTGAATTTTCTTAGCACCCTGGTCAAAAATTAATTTACTTTAGATTTAAGGGTTTGTTTCTGGACTCTTACCTCTATTCCATTCATCTATAAGTCCATCCTTATCCCAGTATCATACTGATTTTGAGGCTTTGTAGAAGTTTTGAAATTGGGAAGCGTCAGTCCTCTGACTTTTTTTTTATTTTTTCAAGATTGATTTGTCTATTCTGGATCTCTGGAGTGATATTATTCTTTTGATCACTATATTTCTTCACAAATAATTTCCCATTTGTTTGTTGACTTGTCCTTAAGATTTTATTTGTACAGTTGTGTAAAATTTATCAACTTTATTAATCTTTTCCTTTTTGAATTTTATATTTTTTCATAGTTAGAAACAATTCTTTTATAGTATTAATTTTCTAATAAATTTCTAAACCTAAATTTTCTGCTTCTTTCTTTTTATATAAGTGAGTTATGGGACCAGCTGGTGGCATGGTGGCTGGGATGCTAGACTCCCACATGGCTGATTGTGGTTCAAGTCCTGAACCTGGTGTCTTACTTTCTCACTCTTCCTTTCCCTCTTCTGGTGAGTACACATGCCCTATAGCAAATTAAAATTATTAATAATAATAAATAAAAATAAATAATTCTTTTTCTTTTTTTAGAGAGATTTTTGCTATAGGGCATGTGCGCTCACCAGAGACACAGAGAAAGACAGAGAGATGGAAAGCGAGAAATCACACATCCTCCCCCAGGGGATGGCTATGTCTCCAATCTTTTCTCCTTCATTCTTCTCTCAGGATTTTGGGTACGCATGCACACATACTCGGCATGAGTTTTAAGCCACGAGGTCCGGGACTCAAACTGTGGTTGACCATTACACCTTCTGCTGGTCCCAATAAATAACTCCTTTTTCTTTTTTTTTTTTTTTTTGGAGAGGTTTTCGCTATAGGGCACGTGTGCTCACCAGATAGACAGAGAGAGACAGAGAGACAGAAAGCGAGAAATCACCCCCAGGGGCGATGGTCACGCCGCAATCCCTTCTCCTCCATTCTCCTCTCGGGATCTTGGGCACGCACGCACACGTTCCCTGCATGATAAATAATTCCTTTTTAAAAAGTGAGTTACAAAAATAGCAAGTACTCACTATAAAAGATTTGATATATGGAGAGCCAGCAGGTGGCATAGTGGTAAAGTGCTGGACTCCCATGAGGCCTACTATGGTTTGAGTCCTAGAACCAGTGGCTTGAAACTTATGCCAAGTGATGGTGCATGGGTGCCCAAAATCCCACATCCCTCTGGGGTGTGATTTCTCACTTTCTGTCTCTTTGTTTCTCTCTGTCTCTCCAGTGAGCATACATGCCCTATAGCAAAAATCTCAAATAAATAAATAAATAAAAGACTAAGATAATTGTTTCTTAAGGAAAAGGTCTGAGAATTTCCGTATACTCCCGTACTTTCTGACTTCATTCTCCAGAGCTCACTGCTATTAACAGTTTGTATCCTTCTCAAGCATATCTTATGTATGTACACATGTGTAGTGTTTAAAGAGTGGGATCAAACTATAAATATTGTTTTGACAGTATAGCAAGGCATCTTTCCATATGTGGATCAATCCCATACTCTAAAAGTTTAGTAAAAAAGCCTTGCCCACCTTAAGATTATAAAAATATCCTCCTATATTTATAGTAATAGTCATTTAGTACTTTTATAGATTGCCATTCATTATGTCTTATTTATTTTTTTACTTATTTTTCAACTAAAGCATTTGTGAAATTCTTTTTTTATTAGTTTGCTGTAGTTCCCATGCACTTGCGTGAGAGAGAGAGAGATAGAGAGATATCACCCCCTGGGGGATTGGCCACCCTACTCAGGATTTTGGCCATGCATATGCATGTCCCCAGCATTTTCTCAATCCGTCAGGTCCAGGACTCAAACCAGTCAGTAGGACATGTGGAATCCAGCCTCTTTCACATCCACACCACTTTCTGGCCCCATTCGTGGGATTCCTTTTCTTTTTGTTGTTGTTATTAAGAATTACTTTAAGTTTATTTATTTATCTTAATTTGACCAGAGAGGGACAGTCAGAGAGAGAAAGAGGAGAGAGAGAGAGAAACTAAGTGAGAAAGCAAGCTGCCAGGTCCAGGACTTGAAACGTGGTCAGCCGTGAGGAAGTCCTGTGCCCTTAACTACCATGCCACCTGTCAGTCTCTCTTGGAATTCTTCATGTCACCCTGTCTGTAGCAGTAGGGATATAGTAAGTGGCTGTTCTTCTACCTTCTGCACATATTCAAGAGGGAAGCCTGGCAAACATTCTGCCTGCTGATTGAACACATCCAGACAGCATAAACTGACCAGAGGAGGAAGGGGTGAGTGTAAGTGTGTTCCTCCCCTACTCACTCTCCCTTGTGTACTTGCCTGCACCCACTCTCCTCAGGTGAATCTCCATAGACCGTTTAAAAGATCCACTTAGAATGAGTACCTGTCCACTCTCATGCCAGAAAACTTTGAAAAGGTCAGGGATTAAAGAAAAGAGTGGCCTGGCAATTCCCTTAAGGATTTGCAGCATTAGAGCAAGATTGAAGCAAATCTCTTTGATATTGGCTCAGTTTCACAGATCACAGCTTTTGAATGGACCCAGGGCCTCTCCTCTGTGGGCTACAACTTTTGCAGGTCCTGTGCTGCTTGTTACTTCCGGGCACGATGCAGCTTCATGTTTCTTGCTGCCCTGTCCCTGGGAACTTTGGACTCAGGTTAAGGAATGAACTCTCACTCCTTGTTTCCCACTTGACTACTTTAAGGGGTCCTGTCCTCTTGCCTTTCCGTTTTCTTATACCCTCTCTGAAGCATGTCAGGACTCTCGAGCCCATGAGAGATGGCCGCCTAGGTGTCTGTGCAGGACCCCAGAGTCTGGGAATATCAGCGATCTGTAGAGCACAGAACCGGGCAGCCCCAGGCCTGAGATCAGCGTGTGTGTTTACATTGGTGAGGGGTGGGAAGCCGAGGGCATTTTTCCCGCTCCAGCATAGGCCCTTTCAGACCAACTAGGGCTCCTCTTGGCGCCAGCAAGGACGGCAGCCTAGGCAAGGCCACCTGCAGGTGCCTGCACTGTGCAACTCCACGGTGCAGCGCATCGCCCTGGCCAGGGCCCGCTGGACACTAAGGAACCGCCAAGACTTGCAGGAGTAGTCGTGGGAGTGCGAGGCTGGGCTGTCTCCTCCCACCACGTGTGCGGGCCTAGCCCGCCTTCCCTCCCCTGACAATGGTCATCTCTGCGGGGGTTCTCCCTTTTAGAACCTCACGTCCCTCCGCAGCCCCCGCCTCCTCTCATCCTCTGGGAAGCTAAGCTGAGGCGTGAGTGCGCACTCGGGAGGAGTTGCCCTCGCAGCGACTGCAGCCAGAAGCGCTTCGCTGGGGCCCCGAACTCCAAGCAAGTTCTCGGCGCTCCGATCTTTCAGGCCTCTGGCGCCTCAGACCCTGTTTAGGGGGGTCGGGCGAGCTGGCTGCGGCTCGGGGGG